TTTTTTTTTTTCACTATTTTCAAAATTCGTTTCATTCATTCCGGAAAACTATCTCGGCAATCAATAGAATATTAATAATTACTTTTTATTTCACCTCTCGACCTTATGCAAATCCGCCGATAAATTATCTGCAGCGCGCCCAATCGAGCGTTTAACATTCAAGGAATTCTTGGAGAGGATCGTTAGTTAGCGCGAAAAATTCGCCTCTCTTTTTATAATCCGGAAAGTCTTGCAAGATGTTTTTCATCGGCGTTTTACATTAATGTTCGATGGACAGAGAAATTGGCTGGTGGCGAGTATTGCCAAACAGAAACGAGTTTTCAAACGGAGGGCGAAGCAATCAAAGTAATTGGCAATTTTCCGTGAAGTCGATCCTTTCGTTGCCATTTCATGGTCAACCGTTCCTTCCTTCCCCTCTCCTCCTCTTTCTCTCTCTTTCTCTCTTCCTTTCAACGCCAGAAATCGTGTATTTAAACAGCAACTAATGGACCGTTTATTGACCGAAACACTTTTCGGTTCGGTCGATCGTTGCACAAATTCGATTATCGTCCTTCTACTCTTCATTATCCGCAATTTTCTTCCTTGTATACCAATTAAACCGATAAACGTCGGGGCCAATACCTGAACGAGTCGTTTGCCAAGCCAAGTGTTTTGTCGAGCGGCGATGAAAATGTATTTTAAAAATGTGACGAGAAAGAGAATTATTGCTTTTGACGATCTGGTGATGGAAATGTTAAGCGAATATGGAAAATACTTTTCTAATATTTTCATTTGAAAATTGTTTTTTTTTTTTATATATCTCTTGTACGTTTTTTTTTTAATCTTTGATTGGACCGTTAGTTGGTATTTAATTGTAAATTGTGATTTAATTGTAAATTTTGATTATTAAACTTTGCAATGTTTTCATTTCGAAAATATTTTTATATTTAACTTTTTTTTTTTTTTTCTATATTCTATTTATCTTCGAGGTAATTGATTTGTTAGTTCAATTCAGTTGTTAATTGTAATTATAAAAATATAAATTTAACGTAGAAACTTTTTCGCGTTTCGTGCCGACCGAACTTTGCAATATTGTTTGAAATTTGTAATTTTTAATTTCTGATCCATGTGTTCGAGGTGGTCGAATCGTTAAGTTTTCAATTTAAAAAATTAGTTGCTTTATTTCGAACTCGAAGAGAGTGAGGTTTATTCCTATTCCCTCGTTTTTAATAATTCTTAACTGTTTGCCCACCACGCGTCTTTTTTATTTGGTCTTCGTCTTTTGAAGTATCGGTGCCCAGAATGTATCAGCCTCGAGTACTTAGAGGGAGTAAAGTAATTGGCAATTTTCTCTTAAATCGGAGACCCATCCTCAAAGAGGCGCTGCGATCAAACGAATAATAGTTAATTTATCGATAAACTTGTCGCGTATCTTTAAAAAAAAAAACTATGAGAAACGATATCGATAATTATCAAATTGAACGTAAGTCGAATTTTTCTTTCTTTCTTTCTTCCCTTGATCATTTTACGATGTTTCAACGTTAATGGAAAGAGAGATTTTTCTTTTTTTTTGAATTATTTTTCCACAGTTTCCACACTGTGGTCGACGAAATTTGATATTTTACACATAAATAAAATTTCACGCTTATCTATAATAATCAAAAATTTGCAAAATAGCGTTTTAATTGTATTTGCATTCGCATCGCTGTTGATAAAATTTGATACTTCGTTGATACATATATTGATTGCTCTCCATCGTAGAAAACTGAAATTTCCAGTGATTAAAATTGTACACTTATCCGTAATAATAATGACGTAAAATGACGTGTATCGAAATTTGCAAAATAGCATTTTAATTGTATTTGCCCTGCTTGCAAAATTTGATACTTTATATATCGATATATATATCGAATACCTTTCGATATAGAGAGCCGAAATTTTCACCGAATGAAACGTTATAGTTTACAATAATTATTTAAAAATATCTGCATTATAGTGAATAAATTTTTTCAATCGACTTCAAGAAACGAAATTAATAGAATGATACGCAATACAACAAAGATGAAAATTTCATTATTCGATTTCTTGATGCTTTAAAATGTAATCGGAATAGCTTGAAAATTCGTATATCCCTATTTCCATTTCATTTCCTTCGTTAATTTCCTCTTTCCCCTACTTTTATCACCGACACGTGTACATAGGATTGTGTAATTCACGGTAATCCCCACAGGTAACGTACGATAACTTTAAGTAGCGTAAAACGAAGGAAAATTTAACCGTCTTATAAATATATAGTGGCGAATCTTTCGAGGATTTTTGGTTGAAAAAGGAAAAGAGGCGATTTCTATTTCCACCATAAAAGATTGAATTTCAATTGAGATTAATCGACTTTTTTTTTTTCCTAATTTTTTTAGAAAAATTATATTATTCGCAAATGATTCGAAAAATAAACGAAATAATAATAGACGATCGTGGCGTAGATTACGTTACGCAGTTGTTTCGTAGAGGAAGGAAAAATTAAATAAAAAGTAGAACTTCGATTCAAAAGTATACACGACTCTATTTCTGCAATCCACGTTTCTTGGAAGAATGTAAAAGCTGCGAGGTCTATTAACGTAAAAGATGCAAGGAATCGATTTAGCGAAAGCCGTAGTACAATTTCTTCGAAAACCTTCCCGAACAAATCAATAACCGGGGCGACGTATAAATGAACTCGCGTCATTGAATCCATCGTTCAGCCGACACCGGGTCACTTTGATTTTTCCATTTCGGTGAACTTGGTTGGATATTTAAGAACATCTGTTGCACGCTACGATCCGTTTAATACCCTACTATTGATAAAATGGGGATGAATCAAATTTGTTTAATCGTAAAAAACTTTGTAAAAAATTCAATAAATCTCTCTCGATTTTTCAAAGATATTTTCAAAATTAATATATAAAAATTTTTCTTATTTACATCAAACGTTTGCAGCGTCAGAATAAAAAAAAAAAAAAAAAAAAAAAAAAAATAAGAAAATAAGATCTGGTGGAAAGAATCTGGTGCGGATAATTCGCCACCGTGGCGTTTAAGAGGGATGCGAGCAGAATGCATTTAAATCACCGAATTTCAAATGCAGAAAAGGGGTAAATGTCGCGCTGCATTCGATTTGACTTGGAGAGGCGGTTTAGTCACGATTCGATCGCCTTTGAAACATCATTCACTATACTGAAACGTGACTGGAACCTGAACGCTATCGGCGCGCTTCCCCTGGATTCAGGAAGCACTAAACAGTGATTGAACTGTGACTACGTCTCGATTCGATCGTTAATGGAAATTGAACTTCTAACGCAATTGTTGTTCCAATATGTGTGTATAAAATAATGACGCGTTCGAGAAGCGAGACGTGTTATTTTTATTCTTTTGGAAATAAAAAATAAATTTTAGAGAAGAAAGAAGAGTTGTTTAATTCTTCGAGTTTGATATTGTTTATCAAGGTATTCGTGTTACGTGTCGTTTAATTCTCAAAATATTAGAGTAATTGGATTCTGTGATTGAGAAATTGAGAAAAAAATAGAAAATAAGATCTGGTGGAAAGAATCTGGTGCGGATAATTCGCCACCGTGGCGTTTAAGAGGGATGCGAGCAGAATGCATTTAAATCACCGAATTTCAAATGCAGAAAAGGGGTAAATGTCGCGCTGCATTCGATTTGACTTGGAGAGGCGGTTTAGTCACGATTCGATCGCCTTTGAAACATCATTCACTATACTGAAACGTGACTGGAACCTGAACGCTATCGGCGCGCTTCCCCTGGATTCAGGAAGCACTAAACAGTGATTGAACTGTGACTACGTCTCGATTCGATCGTTAATGGAAATTGAACTTCTAACGCAATTGTTGTTCCAATATGTGTGTATAAAATAATGACGCGTTCGAGAAGCGAGACGTGTTATTTTTATTCTTTTGGAAATAAAAAAATAAATTTTAGAGAAGAAAGAAGAGTTGTTTAATTCTTCGAGTTTGATATTGTTTATCAAGGTATTCGTGTTACGTGTCGTTTAATTCTCAAAATATTAGAGTAATTGGATTCTGTGATTGAGAAATTGAGAAATTTAATTTAGAAAATTAAATTAAATCGGTTTGCCTTCTGAATTTAATTTCTTGTTGTTCATATTTCAATATATTATTTACGAGTTGAGAAATCTGAAATCAAACTGATTGAATGGAAATAATTTATCATTTATCAGAGTGATTCTCGAAAGGGAAAACTCTAATGTTAAAATTAATATATCTTCAGAAAATTAAATTAAATCCGTTTGTTTTCTTGAAATCTTAAAATCTTGTTATTTACATATTTTATATGTACAAATATACATATAATTTGTCTATAGAGAATTTCTATTTTCACTCCTCGCAAATTTTTATCTAACCTTTAGATGAAATATCAAAAATAGATACTTTCGAAAGGAATGAATAGATATATTTTTTTATTATTTTCAGCGAGTAATATGCGCGAATTGTTTTTTCTCTACTATTTTCGTGGAATTCGTTTGATGTTTCGTCTATTGTACATACGTGGTAATTTCTGATCACGTCCGTTGAAACGTTTGTCGATCGTCATTCCACCGGTTCCTCGTTTCGACATCGCGAAACATGATCGTGCATTTTTCTCTTTGTTCCCCTCTATTTGCGTATTTTTTGAAAGCTTAAAAATATTATATTTCTCCCGTGCTCGTGTTTATTTTGTGCTTGACTGCATAAAAAACGACATATCGATTTTATTGAATTTTCCGCCTTTTTGTTTCCCCAGATATTCGATCGAAATATCTAAATAGGGATATCTTCGAAAGGAGGAAAAACTTTTAATAAAATTATCGTGAAAATTGTATGGTAAATATGGAAGAAAAGAATTTAATTCGTGATATCGAACGATGTATAAATTAATTAATATTTTAACAAGTAGTTTATTCGCTAATTATTGCGAATAATTTTTTTAAAAAAATTCTTCCACTAATATTTTAATATTTTTTCTGATTTCAGGGACTACTACTACGACAGGTGAGTGGGAATCATGAGTGGAGATACAAATTTTCTTGCTTGTCCTTTCTAGTTTTAAAAACACGGTATCCTCTATTTCTGCGATTGCTAGGTATGTAAAATGAAAATATTTCTCGTATTCGATTGCTTGGGAACGGCTTTCGCGCACAAAATATTCGATTCGCATAATTCATCCAAAAACAAAAGAAAATTTGAAATGGCGTGAGACGAAACACTGGAAATTGAAATGATATTTCTATATGTAGAGTGTTTGAAAAATATAGTATTATTTATTTAACGCTTGAATCACGAGCAAATACTATTTCGTATTTATATTAATATTATCCAAAATAGAAGATACAATCGGTATATTCCAAACATCAAATTACCAATTTAATCTTTTTTTTTTTTTATGATAGAGTGACAAAACACTAAATTCTGAACATTTGTAATTCAAAATCTTGCCCCATTTGGCAAAGTTACATTTAATTTCAAAATTTTCCTCCTCCAAATGATATTTCGATAAAAAAAGAAAAAAAAAAAAAGAACAATCGCTTCGTATATAATCCATAATCCTTCACTCACGAAATTTCATTAAAGGGATCAAAAATTTTTCATTAAAATTTCATCAAAAGATGCAAAAATATTCGAATACTTTCGTGTATTCCGTTATAAATAAATTTCCAAACTACATTCGATATTACAAAATCTACTCGTTTCGAAAATAAAATTTTTCCACGAGTGCTAATCGCGCCGAGTGCGCGTAAAAGATCACGTTAAGCTGATTTCCTTCCATTGAAAACATTTCGAAGTCTGGTGCGGGAGCGCGATGACCGCGCGCGCTCAAATTTTCAAAAACCCGGGCATAATTTGCCGTCGATGCTGGAATTATAACTACCAGACCGTAAATCATAATTATTATCTCGCCCCGTTTCACGAATGTTTCACTTCTGCCTCGTGTGCGCGATACGCAAGAGGAATATCGCCAACAATATTGAAGTTTATTAATTTATTTTTCCGTGTATCGTTTTCGCGCGCCGATGCGTGAACGCATTTATTAACTTCTGGCATCGATTCCAATTTTTCCCACGTAATAATCGATATTTATCTTTATCATCGATTCTTTTTTTTCCCCCCCTCATAATAATTGTTAATTGGAAAAATATTATCTTTATTTAATTCGGGATCTTTTAGGAAACTTTTTTTTTTTTTCCTTTCTAGAATACGAGCGAAGAATAGAGAAAAATGTGAATTCTATTGGAAAAATGGAAGAAAATAATAATGGATTGAGAACTTAGAAATGGAGGAAATGATTATTCCATTCCATTTGCATTATATTGTAAAAAAAAGTAACTTCCATTGATCGGTATTTCTATGTAACAATTCTGTCAAAAGATATGTCTGATTAATTAAATTTAATAAAATCTCTTTTTCACATAAAACTTCACAAATTTTCGAACGTAACAAAAAAGGTTCGATTCAAATAAATCGACATTGCATCACATTGCTCTCTTTTCCTTCTCTCTTTTCTTTTCCTTGTTTCGACAAACGAATTTTAATGGAAAAAAAAAAAAAGAAAGAAAAAGAGAGAAAGAAAAAATAACACCGTTTCAAACACGAATCGCGTTCGAGTGAACTGCGCGAGTAGATTTTTAGAAGCGGGATCTATCGTCGTTCAAAGGAACTTTTCTGTCCGTTTAAAAAAGCTCCCGGCGAAATTCTTGAAACCGCTAAGAAGCTCTACTTTTCTAATACCGAAAATATCACGACCTTTCTCTAAGACGTATGTGCACACGAATAAAAGGTATTTCCGCCCGCGAAGAGACGCGGGTTTCTTTTTTTTTTCTTTTCTTTTCTTTTTTTTAAACACGACGAGAAAGCACAACCCGGTTAAATAAAACATTACGAAATCAACACGCGTTTCTATCTCGAACGCGAGCACCACTTTGATGCAACGGATTCTCTTGCGTTGACTTAAGCTGGATGTATCCTTCCTCGCTCTGGATTTGTTAATATTTATCGAAAATCCTTCCGTGCATCTTCTCTCGACAAATTGGACACGAGAAAAGTAGCAGATGAAAGGGTTATGAAAGGTTTATTGTTTCAACCCTTACGATCGTGGCATCCTTTTACTCGAGATCAAGATTTGACAGAGTGGCGGAATTGTAACTTTGAAGGGGGAATCGATTCAGGCATAAGAAAAATATTCGATAGAAAAAGATTTTTCGAAATGATGGAGCAACGTTTTATTTAGTCTCGAGAATTTCTTCTTTTTTTTTTCTTTTGAATTTTGCAATTGCATCATTTCATATAAAAATAATAAAAATTTGAATCTTTGTATCTTTGTACTAAAAATTTCTTTATTTCGATGAACATCGAAATCTCCAATAATTAATATTTCCAGTGAGTAATAATGGTAGTTTAAACATTTTAAACATTTGAGAATTAAATTTGAAAGGACAACGCGAAGGAAAGTGAGAAGGACGAAGGGGATGATGATTCAATAGTTAAGAAGGAAACTGAAAATGGGAGCGGTATCAGGTTCGGTCTTTGTGAGAGGTCGCATCGCGAAATCACGGACTCCACCTCCTTGAATAGAGGCAAACGAAGCATGCAAGGGTTGATTAGTCAGTCTGCGAGCAAACACCCTCGACGACAGGATACATTAGCGCTTAATTATTCGCCTACTGCACGCGATCATTTTTTCCTTCTTTTTTTTCCTTTTTTTTTTTTTTAATTTCTTCCTTTTCCCCCTTTCTTCTTCGCCCCTCCTTCACCCTCGAGGTATTCGTCCAATTAATCGGCCGCTCGCTTCGCCCAAGAAGCGAACAAGGACCGGGTTGATTGAATGGAAGTGGAAACTTAAAGAGGCGATGCACGTGCGATTATCAAAGCGAGGTACACGCCAACGTTGTTATGCTCACGTGACCATGGATAATAATTATTAAAGCGCAACCTGGTGGCTGCCTTTCTATGTTTCGACACAACGCCAACTCCCCCGCGGCGGTGAAACGGCATTTTTCCTCGCATCGAAGGATGAGAAACTGAATTTCCGTGTAATTCAGAACCGTTGTTTGTGACACCGTGGGCCAAAGGTTAAGAGATAGCGAGCTCGATATACGTATATACAGAAGCGGCGAATTTCCATGGTATTTTTTATCGATTTTATCGTCGAACATTTTGATGGAGAAACGTTTGTTTCTTTATCGAACTAATGGCTTCCACGCCATTTATTCGTTACTCGTTTATTATTTATATACAGGGATATAAAGATCCTCTGAAACGTATACTCTCTTAAGAATATAATCAAATTTCAAAATATTGCAAATCCACAGCGTGGCGAAATATATATTAAATAAAATGCAACGTCGCGCGAAAAATGTAATTTCGTCCAACGCCCCGGCTCGCGAATTTAATTACAACACCAATTCACGATACCAACGTAACTCCCGTTGTAACCCGTGTATACCGATATATGCACCGTCCATCTCGCTACGCATCTTCACGCAATGGTGGCCAACCACCGGCGATCGAATGAAAGGGCACGCGAAAAAGATCCAAAAAGGGGGGAGGGGGGGGGGAATGGAGAAATGGAAGCGTTGTCCATGCGACCGCGCCCCTCCAACACTGTCCTTTTGCTTTAATTGTTGCGATTCAGAGACAGTTCGTGACCGGGCTGGAGAAAGAGGGGGCGGTGGCAAAAGCTGGAACGCTTGTTACACAGGGCCGAATAAAAGTCATAAGCTGTCCTCTCAGGTATGGGTGGGAGCAGGGTTGGAACGGAATTATAACCGTGGGCCACGGGGAAACACATCCACGGTCCACATCCCGCCCTTTTCTTCTCGTGTTCAAACACGAACCACGTGACGTTGCCTTCTCGTTGCTTTATTAATTCCTCTCTTGCGCGGCCGTGTTGTACACCGCCCTTTATTTATTTTTTTCTTCCTTTTTTTTTTTTTTCCTTTTTTAATTCCCCGTTTTCCAAAGGACTTTATATTCCATCCTTGCGCCCTGCTTTAAATATGCAACACGCGCGCCATAGAAAACACACACGTACACCATACGCGTATATAACACACGGGCAACGTGTAACGCACACGAGGCATCTAAAATCGCCACAAGCGACACGCGGTACACGCGGTCCTCGAACATTGTGCTCGTCGACTAAAAAGGAATTGATTGCTTTTCATATTTTTTCCTTCCTTTTTTCCCCCCACTCCTTCCTTCTCCATCCACCATTTCGTCCTGCTCCCTATTTTTCCGAATTCACTTTTGTTTTTGCTTTTTGCTTGCTCCCTCCCCCCTTCTCTCTCTCTCTCTC